CTGTAGATGGGGTTCACGTGCTCTCAGGTGACCCTCTCCCCCGGTAGCTGAGGCCCCCTCCTCCCCGCCAGCCCGTCACTATGGAAAGCGCCTTGGAAGCACCTGGTCTCTCTGGTCCATCGTTCCTTCTGGCTTAATGGTCGTCCCCCTGTCCCTGTCCATCTCTGACCCATGCTCCCTGTACACCCAGCAGGAAACCAGGTCCAGAGCCCACAGGCACAGAGACGTGCGCAGGGTCATTGGGCTGGGTCAGGGCATCGAGGAGACCTGGGCAACGTCGCCCTGCAAAATCGGACACGTTTCAAGTGTTGGCCGCAGCTTTTAAAAAGCTTGCAGCTGGAGGCCAAGTCACACTGGGCCAAGGGCCACCTGCAGCTCAGGAGTTCCTTGTCAGGAGACCCTCCGGCCCTTAGCTGTGTACTTTGTGCCTCGTGAAGCCCAGGCTTTCCGGGCAGGGTGCCCTCAGGCCGGAAACTGAGCTGCCTGTGTGTTCCTTGCCCCAGGCCCTTGGACTCCGGGGTGGTCTAGTGTGAAAGCAGCTGACGTGGGTCTCTGAGCAGCTCGGGTGGCAGCCCTAGCGGGCCAGCGAGTGCATCTGTGTGTGTCTGTATGCTGCTTTGTCTCTGTGTCTGTGTGTCCATGTGTGTGTCTGCCCGGCGCCCAGGGCCCGGCATCTCCCGCTGCAATAAACTGGCACTGTCACAGCTTCTGCCCATGTTCTTCCCCCTCGTCGCCCGTGAGGTCCCTGACACACACCTGCAGGCAGGTGCAGCACACGTCACGGTGGCCGTGTGTTCCCTGTGAGGGGCAGGGGAGGCCATGGAGCGGCTCTCCCCACCACTGAAGCTGGGAGCGCCCGGCCCGCTGTCACCAAGTCGGTTCTCACTCCGGAACCCGCCAGGTTTCCGTCTGGAAACAGATGGCCTGGTCTTGCCCCACACCTTGTGGTCCACAGTGTAACAGTTAACCCTGTGTGCTGTCAGGGTTCCACCTGGAAAGATCTGACTGCCTCACTCTTCATGGAGTCGGCCCTCTTCCTCCCAAGCGGCCCCGGGGCCGGCCTTCTGATCGCCCGAGTGTGGCCTCCAGGAGGCGTGTGGCTAACATCACACAGCTTACCATGCAGGGATGAAAGGAGACACAACAGCACCCTCACGGCAAGCAGGGCCGCTCCAGGTTCACTCTGGAGGCCATGGCCCTGCTGCTCGGCCAGCTGTTTCTGCGGGGACCCCTGCCCATCGGGGAGGCCAAGGGTGACCCCCCCCTCCAGTTCCCACCCCGGCCACTGCACATAGTCTCAGTATGTCTGTATGCCATAGTTACGTTCTTACAAACCCTGAACTTGGTATTTTAATCTCAGAAGTGCTCCAGCCCCCACCCCAGTGCCATCAGGTAAGTTGGAGGTGGCCCTCCATCGAGTGTCCAGGCCCAAACCTGGACAGGGACAGATGCAGACGCCACAGCTCCCCCGAGAGCAGCTGGTGGCTTTGCCCTGCTGCCTGGCGCCTTGTGTCCAGCTGTCCACCTGAAGGCCCACTGCCCAGGCTCCTGCGAGCCCCTCTCGGAGTGATGGCTCAGGATGGCCTTTTGTGATGTGTTCTATCTGGGGACAGACCCCATGGCCGCTCCTCAGCAGTCAGTCCCCTCCCTGGACTGCCATCTGCCCCTGGTCACCCAAGGACCAGGCCTCAGTAGCAGACCTTGTGCGTGGCTTACAGCTTCCTAAGTGACAGCGCTGCTTCCAGCAGGTCCACGTGCCATTTCCCAGCAGCCTGTGCTCCTGCATGCATGGCCATGTCGCCCCATTCTTCATGTACGTGGCCGTGTCACCCCGTGCTCCCACGTGTGTGGCTGTGCTCCCATTGTGCATGGCTCTGTGTGTGTGTGTGTGGCCGTGTCATCCCGTGCTCCCGCATGCATGGCCATGTCACCCTGTGCTCCTGCGAGTGTGAATGTGTGTGGCCGTGTCACCCCATATTCCCGCGTGCGTGGCTGCGTGCGTGTGGCCGTGTCACCCTGTGCTCCTGCACGTGTGGCTTTGTGTGCGTGGTGGCTGTGTCACGTTCTGGCCCTCCTCACGGCATCTCACACACATTCACACATTGATTCATGGCGCATGCACACCTGCTGAGTGGAAGAACACGCTCTGCACGGCGGGGAGACAGCGGCACCTTGGAGGTCCTCCTCCACTCTGTCCTCCAGGCCCTCACCCCACAGAGCCAAACCCTGCAGGCTTGGGGTTGCACTTTCTAGGGAAGCCACTTAATCTGTCGCGCCATGGGCCTCACCACGCACACCTCACCCTTCGGGACAGTGCAGTGCAGACGTTCGCCCCCATGGGGGCCCTGCCCCTGACGGTGGTCCGGAAGTCCCGTGGTCACGCTTCCATTCCTGCGGGCTGGGGCGGAGACATTGCCACCATGGGCCTAGCAGGGCTGCGCAGCTGGGCCTGCGCCCTTGGGGACCCCGCAGTCCTTGGGCTGCTGACTGAGGTGGGTGCTGGGGGCCTCGGGTCGCAGGAGCCTGCTGAAGGCACACAGCGTGCAGACAAGGGGAAGCCAGGCTCGCCCCTACCCGGGCTGACTCGCCTCTCTGCTCCCCTCTTGCCTTGCAGTGGACATCCTCATCATGGACGATGACGACGTCCCCAGCTGGCCCCCGACCAAGCTGGCCCCGCCCCCGGCGGCGCCCCCCGCGGGCCCCCCGCCCCGCACTCGCCCGCCCGCGCCCTACATCTGCAACGAGTGCGGCAAGAGCTTCAGCCACTGGTCCAAGCTGACGCGGCACCAGCGCACGCACACGGGCGAGCGGCCCAACGCCTGCGCCGACTGCGGCAAGACCTTCTCGCAGAGCTCGCACCTGGTGCAGCACCGGCGCATCCACACGGGCGAGAAGCCCTACGCCTGCTCCGAGTGCGGCAAGCGCTTCAGCTGGAGCTCCAACCTCATGCAGCACCAGCGCATCCACACGGGCGAGAAGCCCTACGCCTGCCCCGACTGCGGCCGCAGCTTCACGCAGAGCAAGAGCCTGGCCAAGCACCGGCGCTCGCACAGCGGCCTCAAGCCCTTCGTGTGCCCGCGCTGCGGCCGCGGCTTCAGCCAGCCCAAGAGCCTGGCGCGCCACCTGCGCCTGCACCCCGAGCTGGCCGGGCCCGGCGTGGCGGC